GTAGTAGAATACGGGGGAGGGTAATGTAGTAGTAGAATACGGGGGGAGGTAATGTAGTAGTAGAATACGGGGGGGTAATGTAGTTGTAGAATACGGGGGAGGTAATGTAGTAGTAGAATACGGGGGAGGGTAATGTAGTAGTAGAATACCGGGGGGGGATGTAGTAGTAGAATACCGGGGGAGGGGATGTAGTTAGTAGAATACCGGGGGAGGGGATGTAGTAGTAGAATTCCGGGGGGGGATGTAAGTAGTAGAATACCGGGGGGAGGGATGTAGTAGTAGAATACCGGGGGTAATGTAGTAGTAGAAAACCGGGGGCGGGTAATGTAGTAGTAGAATACGGGGGAGGGTAATGTAGTTGTAGAATACGGGGGAGGTAATGTAGTAGTAGAATACGGGGGAGGGTAATGTAGTAGTAGAATACGGGGGCGGGGTAATGTAGTAGTAGAATACGGGGGGGGTAATGTAGTTGTAGGGAATACGGGGGGAGGTAATGTAGTAGTAGAATACGGGGGAGGGTAATGTAGTTGTAGAATACGGGGGGAGGTAATGTAGTAGTAGAATACGGGGGAGGGTAATGTAGTTGTAGAATACGGGGGGAGGTAATGTAGTAGTAGAATACGGGGGGTAATGTAGTAGTAGAATACGGGGGAGGGTAATGTAGTTGTAGAAACGGGGGGAGGTAATGTAGTAGTAGAATACGGGAGGAGGTAATGTAGTAGTAGAATACGGGGGAGGGTAATGTAGTAAATGGTGTATGTTCGCTAAATGACGCCAATGTGACAGATGATTTACAATTTCTAAATCTCATTAGAATAGTTACGAACATATATTTATTATCCTTAATATTTAATGAACATAATTTAATGCCCGTCATTGTACTAAGGGAGATGAAATTATATAGCTAATTATTTAATCAAATAATCGACAATCTTCCGAAATGGACACTCCTTTACCACCCTTCCTTTGTAAATAATAAATCACTGTCTTACCTTATTATTTCTAAACACACTTAACAAGTGCGGAATATGGTTCTGCTCGATGTTTAATAATAACACCTGCGATTGTTTTTTTATTCAAAATTTATCATTTGTATGTTAAAATGCTGAATTCTGACAAAGGAGCCGGTGCTAGAGGGTATGGGCAGTAGCCTTCACTTACCAGTACCATTGTACTGTTTATTATCATGATCGATTAAATAGAATGAAATATAATCACTAAAGAAAGCCCAAAACGGCAATATTGAAAATGTTGCAGTCCTAGATGGTGAAAGCTACTGTCCACGCCCACTAGCACCAGCTTAAGCAGTATTCAACATTACAACATGTATTAGTTTTTTTTTTTTTTTTTTTTTTTTTTTTTTTTTTTTTTTTAACATGTATTAGTAAAATTTTGAATTTAGAATCATCCATATATGTGGTCAATGTGTCACGTAAAGCGGCGTACAAAATGCAAACCGAGCCTGCAGAGAAATTTCAATTTGCCATTTTCCTTTGTTTTGTCTATAGTTTTGTGATATAGCTCGTCCTAGTTTCTTGTAAGAAGTAGATTGGTAGTAGTTTATTACCAAATGTAAAAAGCAAAGTGATCCTAGTCTGTATTTATTCAAATACATCCGTCATATAAACAATATTTGTTGCTACAAGCTTTTAGGTGATATGATATTTCATAGAATAATCTGAAGGCTTCGGATTATTATTCTCCAATTGATATGTCAAGATAATTTTCAACGGAGTGGCATGAGTGCCATATATACTTTATTTTTATTCATCACAAATGCCACAAATACTCAAGCATACATATCGGCAATTTTATTACAATATCAACATTACCATGAATTACATGTCCATGATTTTTTTTACTGAAAATAGAAAAAAAATGATGAATTAATTACTAAGATACTTGATATTTCTATTTGGATATTTTCGTAGCGTCACATGATAAAACACAATATTTTGGCAACAAGCCCAACACGGCAAAATGGAAATGTTGCAGGATTGGTTTGATTGAGCCTGTTTATGGACATTACTGGAAAGTTCAAGCTACGGTCCTTAAACAGAATTCCATACTTTAACATGAAAATGGTGAAATTATGAATTCAGAAACCCCTGCAGAAGTGTTCATACGGCGGTTATCGTGAATACGTCGATATGACATGGTATTCCAATTTTACCAACGAATTTTAACTACTCATATATAACTTCTTCCACAAATATTTATCTGCTTTGGTTATAATAGTCTATGCTCATGTCAGCCTACGTTATGTGAATTAAACGAATATAAACGTAATATGTACATACGTAATAAGTTTACTAATCATTAACAGTCTCTACTGAAAATATGAAATATATACAATTTTGAGATTGATTCATATTGTCAGAACTCAGTGACATCTAATCAGAAATTCTGCCTTCAAGCATGTTACCGGAAATATTCAAGAATGTTCGAAAACATTAGTAAAAGGGATTAACCATTGATAGCAATTTAACAAAACTAAAGACATGACAATTTCAGGCTCGTTTCATAAAGGATATTTGAAATTGCTACATCTCCAAAGCCCCCCCTTGCACCGCTTTATTCAGTATTCAACCTTTAGCACTGAAATTATTAGATTCAATTATCCTTAAGGATCAGAAAAATATGACAGAACTGAGGTGAAGTACAAGACAATTGTTATTGGCAAACAACTGATGCAACGTATACAATCACATACTCACGGTTTCTGAAACTGAATTTGAACCATAATCATAAATATCTATAAAACATCAGAACAAACTGTCATTTATGAATGCTTTAATGCCGTAATGACATTTAATTTAATTACAGGTTTAGTGTTCATGTTTATACATGTATGAAGAGAAAACGTTTGAGTTCTATACTTTGTTCTAAACAAAACAAAACAAACATATAAACAAACAGAACTCCCTCCTAACCCCCCCCCCCCTAAAAAACACAAAAAACCCACAAAAACAACAACAACTCCAAAAACAAAACAACAACACACGTAAACAACAACAATCAAACAATAATAACCAACAGCAACAAAACAAAAAAAAAACAAAAAAACAAAAACATAAGCAACAAAAACGCTCCACATAAAAACAACATTCACTATATCAAAAACATTATGAATTATGTTGTCGGTACAAATATGATGCTAACATTTATTTAAACACACAAACATTCAGCTAAATAAATAAACTGTCAAGATAGGTCCAGGCATGGAAAATTATCAAATTAGCAGACGAAGCTACCAAACGCTTTTGTGTGGTGTTATATATCATTGTTTTGAGAAACCTTCAATAATGTGTCCCGCCATGAGAACGAGGTGACAAGAACTCGACACTAATAGTTTGAATGTTAGATGACGGTGACTCATGTAAAACAATAACATGTGAATCTTGGTATAAGATTGGAGAGGAATTTAAGGCCATAAAGCAACAAAGAAACACACGTCAGCTTACAGTAAACCAGCTTGACCAGTGCTTTCTGCTTTAAAGATACGATATTGGTTTATTTGTACAAAAAGTCTTCCTAACAAAAAATAAAAATATACATGATCCATTTCATATTTATTATAATAGTTAAGCGGGAATTTAGAAAATAGTGCAAATGGTGATACAAGCATGAAACATTCAGGAATATTCATCTTTGAACCATGCAGATTTCAAAAGTTGAGGTGGGCCCAAAAATATCTCTGCTTATTCAAGATGGCCGCCATTTTCAAAATGGGCGCCATATAAATTTGACGTACATAATATTATGCTTGGAAAATAACCTACAATCGAAGGTGACTTATTTTAGCTTTTTTGTTTCTAATTATTAATATTTAGCCTATTCACTAAATATCTTAAATGATCTTTAAATCTTGACAAAACCATTCCTCAAGTTTAGAGAAAAAAAACAAATTTTAAATAAGTCATTACAGAAAAGCGAACGACCAGAAGGCACATTTGTATCGTTTTATCTTGATCTGCACTGACTGTATAAAGGGTATAAAATGTGTAAAAGGAATTTCATGAAATTTTTAAAATTTTGACAAAATTGAAAATGGGAGAAAAACACCGACAACAATTCAGTAGGAAAGTGAAAATCAGTTGATCTCTTTTTCAGAGTTTGTTATTAGTTATATACCCTTGAAATGACATAAAGTACATAAAGCAAAATAATGAGATTCAGGGGCATAATATTCAAAAACGGCGTCAATTAACCTCATCTTGTTTTTGTTTAAAATGTTTCAGATATCATATTCTAAGATCATACGAAGTTTAGTTCAATTCGATAATACAATCTCTGTTCTGTCTATAAATAGAGGATATTGAATGAGTGTAAGTTCCACATTAATTTATTGCACAAGTTGAATAATATTATTTTATTAAACGAGTGCGATAAATTCAGTATTGAACTTACATGAATTTAATATTCTATTTATCACATACCCAAAATAAAGACCGTTTAAAGTGAAATAAGAGTCATATTTTATTGATGCGCCTATAGTTTAACGCTAACATTTAGTGCTCTTTACACTATGTTTGTATAACGTCACGTCAAAATATACGCACGGCCGTGCACTACCATATTTACGGAGTCGCAAAATCGGCATGGGTGTGTGATAAAAATTGTTAAAACTAAAAGGATACGCCTTTGATGGAAAAAATCTAAAGAAAATAAAATCTGTAACATCACTTGATCTTCAATGGTGTATTGATTTTAAAACAGGTTAATATAAGGAAACTACTTAAACTAAGTCGGAAAAAAATATTACTCTCACATGTCGTTCTTGTAAATTATTGCAAAGCAGGAAGAAGTTGACACTTAAATTAAAGTTTATGCCCCTGTATAAATGAAATAATAAAAATAGGTTGAAATTAAAGCAAATGTTATCAGGGAAAATTGAAAAATAAAACTGTTCTATATAGAGTAAATATCAATTTGATGTTATAAAACAGACAGATTTCATTACAAACTTGGAAAAATCATTAGATAAAAACAAATTATGCATGGAAGAAGCAGTAAGGCGACTCGTGATGAATTGCGATAAATCTCTGCAGGTAATAGCTTAGCTTTTCCATCAATCTAAGTGAGTGTTTAAGTGTATAGCAATCATTTATTATCAGGAGGTAGGTTGACATTAATTTCTGACTTCCGAGAATGATTGCTTGCCGTATCGTACGGTTCTGGATTGTCCTCAGTGATAATTAAGAACAAAATGTAACCGAATGCTGTCTTGGCCAATCGCTGCCATGAAAAATGAAGATTTAAGCGTATATGCATGATGCTTTGTCATGTTTCACGTAGAATGATGATGCTTGTTCATATAATATGATGTTATTAAGCGTAATCTTCTTGTGCGTTTTCATGTATATTTATGATGCATTTTCACATATACTTATGATAAGTTTTTATGAATAATTATGATGCTTTTCACCTACATTTATGATGCGTTTTAAGTACAATTATGATGTTTTTTTACAAACAATTATGATCCATTGTTCCATATAAATGATACGTTTTGAAAGCATATAAATGATGCTTTTCACTTACGTTTATTATGTGTTTTGACATGCATGTATGATATAAATGGTGCTTTTTTAAAATATCTCTTTTGACGTATATTTATGAGTATTTATCATGCATAATTATGATACGTTTTTCGTTTATAAATAATGCTTTTCACGTAAATTTATGATACTTTTTAAGGTATATTTTTGACACGTTTGAACGTTTTTTAATTTTCAGGTATGTTTTTGATACGTTTTTACCTAGATGTGTGATGATTTTTTTATTAACATTATCGGACATGTATGGTTTTTATTTTTTTTATTAAAGGTCGAGTGTAAAATCCTGTCATACCTGAAACTGTATTTCACGAGTACAAATTATGTGTTGATGTTTTGTGAGGGGCTGTACCTACACCGGCTAATCGTGAACGCATTTTCTCCACCTAAAACATTACTACCATTTTACATCTTAGGATGGGGTAAGTTTTTGAAATGTACTTATTTACTATATAATATAGTATATACACATATACTTTATGATTATATTTAACTTATGCTGAGCAATGATTTTTCTTAGAAAATAACAAACACACAATCCCAGAATATATTTACGTTAACACATATCTGTATGACTGCTTTCTTTTGTGTGTAGTATGTATCTTCTATTTTCAGTTCGGTATTTTAGACATCATTTATATTTTTTTTTGTGTCGTGGAACCATTGACACAACCTTTGGATCATTACTCGTATGTAGATTATTTGTATTGAAAAAATTGTTTGAAAATTAAGAGCTTGATTGTACAAATCATGATATTCCAAATTCTTTCTTCCAGCCAGTCCTTTCTTTTATACAACAGCTTACATGGTTGTGCGAATAACTCGGGCGGATGAAAGGTATCATAGTCTTTATATCGCATTATTCTTTTGTTCGTTCGTCCGTCATAGATCATTCCATCCATTATCTTTGTAAAGAAAGAAGACAACCACATAAACCATTCTGTTGGTTTATATGGTAATTTATACGGATAAATATGGGAATATCACATATAAACAAAAAGGATCCTTCCGCAATTCATTCATTCATTCATTCTTTCAGTCATTAATTGTTGTTGTCCATGGCCGAGTTGTTAGGGTCGTTGACTTCAAACCACTTGCCTTTCACCGTTGTAGCAGCGTCTGCAATTCTTTCATTTCAGAAAGCTCTCAGGTAGCTTACGGAACGTCAGTGGTTCTACTAAGGTGCTTATTAAATCTTAAAGACACATAGGAGCTAAGTAATAAATACATATTTTCTTCTTGAGAAAGGGCAACTAATGTTGTAATAATGGATTTAGATCATGTTAGATGATTATCACCTACACAGAGTAGTGAGTGCTAAATGTGAAGACATAATTTGCCATAAAAATATCAAAATGTAAACAAGAGGTATTTTAACTTCAAACCAATCGCCAAATCACTTTAACTGTTCTTGTTACCATAAGCAACTGCAGCTTTATGACCAATGACGGCAATGAGCAACCTTTAGGGCATCATAGTTAAAAAGCGTTTTGTAAATAAAACATGGATAAATTTATTGAAACTAAATGAGTCTTTAAATTAGAACAGTATGACTTAAGGTATTATGTTACTTTTTACGTTTAAGTAGACTTTCTGCAGACTCTTTTTTTGTAATTGTTATTTCATAAATGTTTATAACTATTGACACTGAATTTGTCTGATGTTCTCCGGAATTTATTAATAGCCAATGACATTTGTACGTGCTTATGTATACACCAAAGGTTTTACGTTATTGTCTATGAGAGTTTGTTCGTTTGTCTTAGGAATAATTGATCATTCATTCTAGAAAAGCATAAACTTTGTTGAAGATTAAATCCACGACAACAGTTGCGGAGATATAAACAATGAACATCTGCAATCATTTCTTTATGTGAAATAGAAAGTTAAACATAATATGACAGATCTATTTTAATGGCCCATTATACCCAAGAAATGCTTTTACATTGTCGTATTAGTTCTCAAAAGGTTTTTATTTTTGATGTACTTTTATAGTTTCCAAAATGTAAAATGTTACTTTTTGGACAATTACCTAAACTGCCTTTTTCTTGCTTTACGGCAATGAGTGATTTAGCATTTTGTATGGAAGTCAAAATACTGCTTTATTTACATTTTGCTACTTTGATGATAAATAATTTAACATTTAGCGCTACTTTTTCAGGTAACAAGCACCTAGCATGTACTCAAACTATTTTTAAACATTATGAAATTTATATTTGCCCTTTCTAAAAAAAAATAAAAAAATATTCGTTTCTGAGGAATAATATGCTTTTAAACTTACATTAGAATTAATTGTTTTCTTTTTCAGTTGTTGGGCTAAAAGTATCGGCGACTTGCAGTGGATTTTATACTCACCTAACTTATTCTGTCTAATTGTATGTATTTTATCATTTTTATGCTTTTCCCCCTATTTTGTATGTATTTTATCATATCCATGCTCTTTGCTTTTTAAAAGCATTATCCACAGAAGTACCTCTGTGACCAACGGTTAAGGTCGCTTAATTCATATCATTTGTGAATTGTATCTTTTCGATATAAACCCGTCTGGAACAATAAATTATGTTAATGAATTGTTTTGTACATAAATTGTTTTTATTAACATAGTTAAAAGAAAAGCAAAACTATTTTTTTTAATTAGTGATGCTATATCTAGTATGTAAGTTTAACGACAACTGTTTAATAAATAATTAATATATGTATTTTTTACAATTCAATTGTCGTACTTAGATCGATGCTTGCTTAAAATTGAACGAAATAGGCTAAGTGTGCATAAAGTGTATAAAGCTATATTTCTACAGTATATAGTAAATAATTTTGAAAAAAAAGGAATACTTGAAAATGTACTTGTATGAGAGAATATCTTTGTATATTTCCTTCTCAGCGTACGGAGTTTGCAGAAATCATTGCTAAACGGTTAAACCCCAATAGAAATTACTATGGAATCAATCAATAGATAACTATCTATTTCACAAAGTTAATCCACCCCAAATGATTCGAGAGGTTAAACCCCTCTTTATCAAGGATAGTGTTTGGAAAAAGAGAGGATAAATATGTGATTTATAAAAAAAACCAGCAAACTTCTTCCTCGAAACGTTAGAGGTTGATAAACTTTGAATAAAGAAAAATAACAGGATACTTTTTGCACATGAACATTATATTCCGTTTACATACAATATCTATACAATATTCATATCGATAGTCAACCGTAAAATTTAAGAAACAACACAGTTTCACCACTAATCATTTTTTATAGAAAAACATTTCTATACATATAATTTTATATCCCTCAACTTATTTTAAGTTTTTTGATCCCCATTTTGTTACTGACGATGTATTACTCTTCAGCATTCATTTTACAGGCAAATATATATTTCCTGTGCAGTATACTTCGAATACTTCTTACCCAGCTTCAAGTACACCCTGATGAGCCAAGCCATTTTAGGTAGGTGTTTTTTTAATTTTTTTTGTTGGTAATAATTGAAATATTGTCCAAAAAAGTTTTCTAAAGTGTATAAGCTTTCTTGTAATCAGTATAATTATTGTTTTTTTTCGTTAAATACATAAACAACAACAACAACAACAACAATACAATAAAACCCCCCAAAACAATGTATACAAACAGGGAGGTTTAATGAAAATATAATCAGTGCTGGTTTGAGAGCCGGGCACCTTAACTACTATATCGTCCAACTCATTATTATGCTTTTTAATAACTCAATGTTGGTTAAAATAAAGTATATGATATTTGTTTTCAGGAAAGCTTTGAAAGCCACGTTTGTGTTGATTCCACTTTTTGGAGTTCAACTTTTTGTCACAGTGTATAGACTCCCGCCGAATTCTACGGGATTTTATCATTACGAACGGTTTTCGGAATTCGTAACAAATTCACAGGTAAATACGTGTATATCTAAAGTCGGCATTCATTTAGGTTTTAATTAACATAATTAACATTTTGACCTAGCTATAATGACTAACGAAGGCAAAAAGTTTTCGTTAGGATCTGAAATATTTGTTAACAAACATGAATAAAAGTGCTTTATTCTCAAGGTACAAATGTAGCACGTAGTTGATATTATTTACACCATAACAATTCTGTTAAATCGTTAACCACACTCACTTGACTATTTCAGGGAATGTTCGTAGCAGTTATATTTTGTCTTTGTAACGGAGAAGTAAGTCTCAATTATTTCTATTTCTGTTCCACCTTTCCTATTTATATTTCCCTACGCAATTAATCATGACTTATCCGGATCATTATTGAGTTCAACGAACGATTGACTAGTTATTGCAATTAGAAAAGGCCAAAGTCTTTAAGGTGACAACGGAGTCAATTATCACTGAAAATACCTAAAATGAGATTTTTTGCTAAGTAGATTTATCAACCTTTTCTGAACACTTCGTGATTTAATTTTGGAAGCAGTTAGTCCAAAAAATGTGTTTTTAAACGTTTTAAAACGGTACCTATACTATTTGTATCTGCTATTCGCGTAATCTGTCGATTATCGATAACGCTCCGCCCCCTGTTGAGGCATCAATGAGGGAAATCGGTAGTTTACAGGTCCCTTCTCGTAATTCATGTATCGTACAACTACCGTACATCTTTTATGAATATCTCAACATTTAGCCTTTTTTATAAATTAAAAAATTGTCGGCCAATGTACGTAACATAATGTATGAAACATAAATAATTAAGCATAGCGGCAAATCGCACGACCACGGGGTTGATTAAAAATGTAGTTGCTAAAATATCCATAATGTGTGAAAATAATTTGTCTGTCCCGTTAATCTGATAGATATTACATTGAGTTGGTAGACTTTTGTACGGATTCAAGGGCTTACTTTACTTTCAACCTCGTTTTCTAACAATGTCAAGTAAAACAACAACAAAAACAGACAACATTTTTTATGTGAACGCCTATATGACTTGTGGTAAGGTGTCCCTGACAAATTTCTAAACCATTTTAGATTGTCTAAGGATGATTATTTCTCTATGAATAAAAAAAGATATAAAATATATTCTCAGTGAAAATAAATTGTTCGCCAGTAAATCGGACACAGTACTAATAAATCTGGGACAAAGTATGAAATTTATTGTCTATTCCCGGTAGAAACTGGATCTCTATGCCGTGCATAGATAGAAGTCAAGAAGGCCAGATCATAATGATCGAGTAATACCTTTTATTTCTATTAAAATATGTGAAGCATTATCAATTTGGTGGAAAAAAATATAATATCCCGTTCTTATTTGTACATCTACCATGCACTTTAAAAGACTGTCAGAAGCTCAGTTTTTTGTTATTTTATTTTATATTTTAACGGAATTTCATACACGAATACACAGGCAGAGTGACACTGGTATAATACAATAATAATGCTGATGATAATAATAATAATAAACTTCAAAAAGGAAACAATTAAATACCCCGCTAGCGGTGCGCAAATGCGTTCCATTCCCCCCCACTGATTGCCTCAAATTTTACCGATAGTCACGTGACATGTGCGACAGATACCAGACGGACAGTAAATCACGTTAAGAATTGAAGAAATTTCGGCTATAAACCGATATTAATCAGCAGCTTTTTCATTGGTCAGATGTCACTGGGTCATAAAATGTTAAGAGTATGTTACCGCAACTTGTGACCCTCTCTGGTGCGATATTTGTGTATTATGCAATTATTTAGCGTGAAACGTAGGGGTCCGAGAGAGAACAGCCGATTTATGACACTTCGTTTGATGCGGGTCGGACTAACTTTGAATCGGCATAACTTTTTTAATAATCAAGCAATTAACATGCGGTTTAAAGCACATGAAAGGAAATTCATTTACGGAGGGAACCGTGTCAGGGATTTTTGTTTGCTCAATCAGCGACTTAATTATCTTTAATTACGTAATATGTATGGTGAAAAAAGTCGCATAAAATGTTTGACGTTACGTAATATTTTTTTTGAGAAAAGATAGAAAAAATTTGAGACACGTTTCCCCAGATAATATAAGTATGGTTATTTTCCAAAAGTTTGATGACAAAAAAATAAAAAATGACTTTGATATGACGATTTAAAATTTCAGGATTTTTATTCAAAATCAATCATTTACAAAGGCATTTTTTTCAAATATGTTATTTTTTATGATGATCAACGACATTTAATGCACAAAGATTAAATAAATAACAATTATTACTAAAATAACTTTGTTTAAATGACATTTATGTGAGTACCACGGAAAGTGTCTGTTGTCACCTTAAAGTCTTATTACGACAGTTGCAGATTTGCATAACGATTCATTCGACTATTTTAGTAGGAGGAAAGATCACTAAGGAAGTGGACAATGTACTTACTATGTATCAATTATATTATGCATTATGTTTCAAAACAATTATTGACTAGAACAATTTGTGCAGAATGTTTTCATATATCTGAATATGCTGAATCAGTTCTACAAGGGATAAAATGGCTTGGTTGTTAAAGTGTCTGCAGCTAAACCCGTGCATTAGGGTCGCGTGCATAAACCAGTACTAGTTAGTTTCATGGTACAGACTTGATAGTTTTAAGCCTATTTTAAAAATAAGTAAAACCTAAATCATTCATCGTCGGAAGCCTCTAAAATACACTTCTGCCTATAACGGTAGCATTGTCTCTTCGACCGGGCTAGTTTGGACGACTGTAAAGTTCTCAACAAAATAGTTTCTGTTTATATGCATTACACAATACCCCTAAACTTGATATATCTTTAAAAAGGTGCCCTTTTTTCATCCGCTCAAAACATTTTATGAAATCAGGGAACGAGAATTCAAAATTACCTGATAGTATCCTCGCGTCAATGGACAGCAAATCTATTGCAATGAAAGGATCCTTATTTGGGCAATGTAAATGTTCCAACCATTTCTGTCATCACTGCAGTAATCTGCCGTCACTGGCGCCGGTAATACAGTGTGAATATAATAATTGGTTTTACGGCGCACCAACACATTTTAGATCATATGGCACTGAAACAGGAAAGATGACTTTGGCAAGCCTCGGATGTTCCAAACTTAAAGCAACACCAGGTATCAAAACCACATCCCCTAACGGAGCTAAGAGATGCATAAACTCCCGTTATTCGAACCCATTCAATCTCTTCTTACGATCACGCAGGGATAAACGGAGGCTGCAATTCTGATCGCTCATCCCTTTGAGGCAACGCCTGAGCCACAATTATGTTTAAACCAATTCTATTCCTCCGTGTGCCTTTGCCTGTCCTATTATTTAATGAATGAAACTCTTGCAAACTTGACCAATGTTTTCGTCATGTGTGTTTGTTTGCTTATATATTCGTCAAAATGACATATTTTTTTTACCATTCAGGTAACATCTCTGGTGAAACACTCTCATCGACGGCGTCGGGAAACACGGGATATAGGTTTAAAGAAACATAACTCAGCTATTAGTCTTAATATGAACACAATTGCTTCAAAATACAACACACTTGACAGAGCTTCTCCGAATATGAATCTTCTTGTACAAAATGGGGAGGACGCATCTACTATTTAGAGGAATGTGGTCTTATTATTGAACAATCATTTACTTTTACTAAATTATATTATTACTTTGACTTTTTCATTGTTTACTCAATATCTTCAGACCTTGAATCCAAAAATTATCATTCTTAATTTTGCTGATTGATGTTGTTGTTAAAAAATGGTATTTAAAATACATATGAGCCGCGTCACGACAAAAACCAACATAGTGGGTTTGCGACCAGCATGGATCCAGACCAGCCTGCGCCTCCGCGCAGTCTGATCAGAATCCATGCTGTTCGCTATCAGTTTCTCTACTTGTAATAGGGTTTGTAAGCGAACAGCATGGATCCTGATCAGACTGCGCGGATGCGCAGGCTGGTCTGGATCCATGCTGGCCGCAAACGCATTACGTTGGTTTTGTCGTGACGCGGCTCATATGTATAAAATGTGGAATGTTTAAATGTCAAATGTCAAAAATTTTTTTTTACATGTTTGATAAATAAAATAAGAACTGTACCTCAAGGAAAGTAGGGTTTAATGAAATTAATATATTCGTGAATTTTCACTTTGATTTTACTTTGTTGGTTTCCATAATAATTTAATATATTCGTTAGTTTTCACTTTGATTTTACTTGGTTGGTTTCCATAATAATTTAATATTTTCGTTAATTTTCACTTTAATTTTACTGGGTTGGTTTCCATAATAAAGTAATATATTCGTTGATTTTCACTTAGTTTTTACTTGTTTGGTTTCCGTAATTACGCATGCATAAGGAAACAGGTACACATTTTTTTAAAGAACATATTTTTCATAATTCAATATGACACTTATTAGATCAGCCCGTATATTTATGTGTTCAATCTTCACATATGTTCTTAATCTGCATTTAAGTTTAAGCCATAATTAACAGGGTAATGAAGAATGTATAAGGTTTCCAATTCCGTCATTGATTATAATATGAATTTTTGCCAATTTTCTAAAAAATGTGATGTAATTAAAATGTCCTTAAATAAATTAGTCAGTGCGTGCAACATTTTAAATTCTGATTTGAATTGCGGAAATACAGAACTTGTAAAACTGCAAGTTTGTAATGTCGCTTTTAATTGGATAATCACTGCGTTAAATTCTCGCCTAATAACATTGCAAGTTTGTAACGTTGTTTTTCATTGGATAATCGCCACGTTTATAAAAACTTTTACACGGATGCTGTCAATTTATGAAGTCATATGTGTTTTTATTACAAATAAAGGAAGTTTAAGATAATAAAAGTTTATTATAAAAGATTCTTGGCAGGTTATATGGGCGTATATAAACGATATTTGCAATATAACCAGAGCCACATACAACAGTTTATCTAGGGCCATATAACGTAACAAAAAACACCTGCTGCATATTCATGGAATTATTTTTATCTTATTCAATTCTAGCAGTACTTCGATGTTATGAATTCACTGTATTGTATTTCCGAACTTATTTTTACAACAAATACTATGAATCATTAATGAAAGGAAAATGAAATATGTTTATTTGGTTTAACGAAATCTACAGAGGTCCAAAGCCTAAAATCATAAAGTTTGAATTTCTTATATAGATCAACTTAAGCTATTAAAACATAACATATCATAACATAACATAACATATAGTTTATTAGCATAATATGTGTTTACATACATAGCCATTTACAATGCATGAAATACAGACATGACATTTTTAACAGATTTGGTACACTTTGCGCTTTGCGTTCTTGATAGCGACAACACAACCTATATCGTTATTGCATTTTCGACTTGTCGTCCTGTCCCTGGCGAAACGCGCCAAACGGCGAGTTGTCGCACTGTCGTCTTGTCGTCCTGTCGCTAGCGAAGTACGCTAAACGGCGCGTTGCCGTGCGGCGCGTTGTCGCAATTCTTTCGATTTGAGCCGAGCGACAATGTGACATCACGACAACACGCCGCCCGACAACGCGACGTTTGGTGTACATCGTTAGCGACAGAACGACAAGACGAAAGTCCGACAACGCGCCGTTTGACGCTTTGTCGTGCTGATGCTAGTGACAACACGACTCACAAAAGTGTTCCAAATCAGTCACTATAGGTATCCGATAACGCATTTCCAGTAATATAATTAGACAAAACTTTGTTTATAAAACAGAAATTAACAGTTTTGAAAGAAAGAAAAAATGTTTAGGCTTTCTCAGGTTTTACATAACAATGTCACGGTCATACTAGGAAAGCGTATATTTTTTGTCATCTCTGTCAACATTTTTGTCAACAGTGTTTCTGTCCTCTTCTAATTACTCTCTTTAACGACAAAACATAAAAAAATAACCTCATTCTAAATGTTAACATTACATACAAACATCCTGTAGTTTATGCTGAAAGCTAAGCATGACTGGTATAGGTAAACTGATATATATTTATGATATGTGGAACAGAATTCTAGCTCATTAAAACAAGAAAGAAAACAACATGAAAGATAAAGATCCATGAGAGAAGTAAATATTTGAGCCGCGTCATGACAAAACCAACATGGGTTTGCGACCAGCATGGATTCAGACCAGCCTGCGCAGGCTGGTTTGGATCCATGCTGGTTGCAAACTCATTATGTTGGTTTTGTAATGGCACGGCTCAATTTTATCTCTGAAGAAATCACAGTGGTTGCTTTCTGGATGATGAATGTCACAGCGGTTTCAAGACCGAGTAACCGCCGCTAAACAGTGAGTTTCTTTGAGGATTTGCAATCTGCCCAACTAGTGATTCATTCTTCCTCTTTCATAATTATCATATAATATATATTTATATTTAAAAATATTTACTTATATTAAAAGAGAACAAACTAATTATATAATTATATAGAACAGATAATCTTTTTTCCTGTAAGAACGTCAAAATAAACGGCACAATTGAAAAGTTTGGTGGCTCGGTTTTATTGAGCATGTTTTAAACGGTATTGGTAAACGCAATCTTCAGTCCACGTCCCTTAGCACCGATTTAAGCAGTATTTAAGATTTATACATTTAGATTTAGACAATGATTAAATGTGGATTATGGAAACAACCACGAATATGTTCAAACAGTGGTGAGCATGGAACCCTCAATGTAATATTCATGCCGTTTATTACTTCCATAGTTGTGTATGAATAAACATGCGGAATAATGGCGTTATGCAAAGCACTCAACTCATGTTACACCTTGGGGTATAAAATGACAAATTCCAGCACCGGCACAAGCACAAACAATTACAGTATACCAAATCTGATATGTAAGAGATTGTAAGACTGTGTGATTTATTACAACCATTTAAAATCTAATACTTTGTTACTTAACTGTTTTATGATAATATAATCAGTTTTATCGTTACTTGGAAAAGTACAGTGTGGGTTAAGACACATCCCAAATAGACTATAGACGTCTTTTGTGTACGATAACATTAGGTCAACTCTAACGGTTTTTGCTAATTTTCGTTATAACATAATGAACATCATGCTCCAGGTAAATATTGTCCGGTTCCAATGGTACATATTTTTCTGTTTCTGCATTCATCATGGGATATATAAAAGAGCTCTGATGAAAAGTTTTATACCATTGGAATAGGAAAATATTTACCATGAAAAAATGTTTATACTTATTATTCAAATATTAAATAAACGGAAAATAAGCATAAACCCCAATATTACCGTAAACAAATACCACGTGTTAACCCATCCAGGCATCATAAATGATATTTTTATGTAAACAAAATGAAAGGTTAATAACCACAGAGCAGAGAATAAAGCACTTACAGTCATCCTATCATATCTTATTCTATGAAAAAGGAAAGAACAAAACGTTATCCAAATGTTGATTGTCAATCAGAGTTTCTTCCCTTTGTCGATTTTGGCAGATGTGACTGTTTTGATATATTATTTTCTTGCTAATCATATCAGTAACATATGCAATGATTTGAAATTTACCTCCCTTACATAAAATTCCAAGTTACGGCCATGTTTTAGTATATCGTTTGGTAATTGCTTTTATCATGCATAATCTTGATGAATTAAAATTTCTAGGAAAAGCAATACAAATGTTATCGTCGCATTTGAACATAGGAAAGGTCCTAACTAGACCTTTTGGTTTCTTAATGTCGAATGATGACTGGCCTAGGAAGGCTTCTGATGCCAATATTTGCAAAATTTGTTTTTGAAAAACCACCTGCGTAGAACGATCGGTACCTAGCTTCCTCTTCTGAAAGGATTTATGGCTCCAGACGGGTTTCGAAGTCGCAACGATGAGGCGTAAGTGAATCGAATTTAGCGACTTTTACCAATATGCCACGAAGGTATCTAGCTTTGAGAATTATATAGCCCTTGAACACTCTTAGATTGTCCTCCATAAGATCGACTATCTAGTAAAACTAAATTCTAATTGTTTGTGGTTTTTATTTTCTTGTATATTTAGGCTTGACATACATTTTTGTACGACAGAAAAATACGCGGTATGATATTTTGACGTTGCGCGGAAAAGTTGAGGTAAACGCCCTAAACGCCCTATCACCGTGATAATTGAAGAATGATTTTCAGGGTTTTATGTTCAAAACATTTTCTGATTGATTATTTTCATATTTCTCTGAAATCTAATTCTTAGACAAATTATACAAATTACAGACATAAAATTTGAATTTCATTATTATTTAGTTTGTTTATATACATGAATGATTTGTAAAGATAACTGCTCTTGTTCAACTTCCTACTACTTTTTTTCTACAGATACAACTTTAAAACTTGAACCTTTAGTGAACTAAGCAATGCGTTCCCGAAAAATAATTCAAGAAATCAAAACCATGTAGCATTAGCAAAACATAAATTATATTCATTATACTGCATAGGGCAAGAAATGCACCGTAATAAACTGCATTAATTTTGCATTATTTGTCTCTCAAACCTTACAATTTGCAAGTCGTTAGAATTATAAGACCAGAGAAAGCAAATTAATACGGCTTCTTAGAGTCGTTTTAATGATGCAAAACGGAATTAAAGGAACCATCCCTCCGAA